GCACAATGAGGTGTTACACCTCCTCAAGTCTCACCTCAAGCAAGCCCAATCAAAAATGCAACAGCAAGCTAATAAAAGGAGGAGGGATGTGGAATTCGCTGTGGGTGATAAAGTTTATTTGCGCATTCAGCCCTACAAGTTGAAAAATTTAGCCAAGCGCCAGCATGAGAAGTTATCACCCAGGTATTATGGGCCGTATGAAGTTGTTCAAAGGATCGGGAAGGTGGCTTACAAGCTGCAACTGCCAGAAACAGCCAGGATCCATCCTATCTTCCATGTCTCACAACTCAAAAAGTTGATTTTAGCCACTGAAACAGCACACCCACTCGCGGATTTCCTGACTGAAGAATATGAGTTGCAGGTTCAGCCATAAGATGTAGTGAGGGTAAGGGCAATGACCGACAGCACTCAACAGGTTCTGATTAAATGGCAAGATCTACCGAACTATGAGAACACTTGGGAGGACCTGCAGCATATCAGACAACAGTTTCCTCACTTTCCCCTTGAGGACAAGGTGAAACTTGTAGAGGGGGCGAATGATGGGCCTGGCACTGAGATAAGGGCAGTATATGGTAGAAGGAGGCCCAACCCGAAGACTGAGGGATGGTTATCTAGGGTTGCGTGCATAAGTGTGGGGACAAGGAGCATGTGGATGGTTTTGGAGAGCTGCTGACCTCTCGAATGTCAGGGAAGGTTTTATCCTTAATGTTCATCAATTTTCCTAGTCACCATTAGATATTTGCCGTTCTATTCTGTTTTCCCAGTATAGTAGCTAGGATACTCAGTCTATTTTGCCATTTTTCCCCCTCCTTCCTCCATTGAGGGGGTCTTGTACTATGAATCCTAGTTATTCAGAATAATACAGCAAGCTCCAACAACTGCCAAGGAAAGTAAGACCTTTATGGTGTTGAGTTTGGCAATAGGAGCAAAACTCTCCTAGTAATCAATGCCATAAGTTTGAGTAAACCCTAGAGCTACTAAACGAGCCTTATGTTTGTTTACACTACCATCAAGATTGTATTTAACAATAAAAACCCATTAACTACTCTCCACAATTTTGACCTTAGACAAATCAACAATCTTCCAGTTCTTATTTTTGTGTAGAGCTCTTAGCTCCTCCTCTATGGCCTGCTTCCACCTAGGATGAGCAATGGCTTCGCTAAAATTCTTTGGAATGGGCTCTGTTTCAACATTTGCAACAAACGTCTTTAGATTCGAAGACAATTGCTCATAGGAAACATGCCTAGCAATTGAATGCTGAGTGCAACTCCTCTTTCCCTTCCTTAAGGCAATTGGCCAATGTAAATCCTCAAGGCTTGCCCCAGGCGCAGATCCATGGTTTTGCATTGGTGATAGAGCAAGCTCATCACTATTTTGCTGCTGTTCTAGTGATTTTTCAGGCTCTCCCACCCTAGTCTAGGATAATTCAGGATTAAAGAGGGGCTCAAAAGGGTTGGTGTTCTAGAAAGCAAACCTGGATGGCTAATTGTTGACACTTTCTGGGCTAGTTCCTGCAGTACTTTCATGTGCTTAGATTGGGTTTAAGAAGAAATAGGGGAAGAGGGAATAGCATTAGGAGATGACAAACTGGGAATAGTATTAGGAGATGATGGACTGGGTGCTGCAAAATTAGGTGGGATTTGTGATGTTTGTGGTCCTTTAAATGCTGTTCAGATTGGGAAATACCATGATGATCATTCTCAGTTCCATAAACAAGCCATTCACTCACACTCTTCTCCCCCTAAATGGTTGTTTAGTTAAAATAAGGTTGATGTTCAACATATTTTACATTCAGAGTGACATACACCTCATTTGTAGCAGGACAAAAACACATATACCTCTTTTGGCTAGAAGGATAACCCAGAAAAACAGTTTTGATGGCTTCATGATCCAATCTGCCTCCCTCTTCATTAAAAAAATACGTTGTACATTCAAATATTTTTTGAGACAGTGTGTTAAATAAAGGTGAATTGGGATAAGCCTTTTGAAAAATTTGAAGAGGAGTATGGGTGTTATGTAATTATAGTTATAAATAAGAAAATATTTAAATATGATATAATTAGGATAACAAGGATTTAAATAATATTATTAGGATCTAGATAGTATTTAATTATATTAGTAGGATTTGGACAGATTAAGATATCTAGAAAATATTTAAATAATATTAGGATAATTACTTAGATTTATATCTATTAAAGCTTTTGCTTATAAGTATTTGTCATTCTCTGTAACTCAGTTTTGCAATGTGATTAGAAATTATTTAATTTCTCTTGGTCCTCTACTCCCTTCTAATTCTCCTCTGTTTCTATTACTCTTTTCCATTTCTCTTTCCTGTTTCTCTCTCCTATTTCTTTACTTTCCATAACAATGAAATTTCAAAACCTTTGATGGCATTCAATTTATTAGATAAGCCGAGGTTACAATAGTATCACCCCAAAACTTGTTTGGCACATGACTTCCAAACATTATGGCCCTTATTTTCTCTTAGAAACACCATTTTGTTGGGGTGTTCGAACACAAGAAGTTTGATGGTGGATGCCATGTTCTTCCAAAAAAGTTTTAAACAATAAGTTTAGATATGCTTTGCCATTATCACTATGAAGCATCTTTATTGAGGCTTGCAACTAATTTTGAACAAATTCATAGAATTTTTTCAAAAACCTCGGATTTCTGTCTCATTAAAAAAACCCAAGTGAACTGAGTATGATCATTAATGAAAGTTATAAAGCATCTGGCTTTAGAGTTAGTTTCAAACCTTGATGGACCCCAAACATCACTATGTATGAGAGAGAACAGGGAATGAGATAAATAGGAGTTTCTGACTTGTTTGGCAAGAAGACAAGTTTCACAATGGAAATAAAAAATGACCTTATTATCAATTATGGGAAACATAAATTGCACGTAGCTAAAAATTAGGGTGGCCTAACATAGAGTTTCACAACTTAACATCTTTACTTGTCAAAACAGAAAAAGTAGCTTGAGATTTATTTGGCAATGATCCCTGCAGGTAGCAAAGCCTATTCCATACCCCAGCACTACCACTCATCTTCCCCAAAGTCAAGTCCTAAAAATTACAACAATGTTTATCAAATATTACCAAGCAATTTATCTGAGAAGCAACTTTTCTGATAGATAACAGATTGCATTTAATATCAGGGATATAAAGAACATCTCTTAAAACAATATTCTCAAATACTATGATAGTTCCAGGCCCCATTACTTTTGCATATTGTTCATTTGCCACCTCAAAAATTTCACATACTAAAATTTAAGAAAATTGAGAAAACAATTCTTTGAAACCTAAAATATAATCAGTTGCTCCAGAATCTACCACCCAAATATTTTTGGGTTTAGTCTTACCACTAAGAGTATGAGTAAGGAATGTACCTACTTGTGCCAATGTAACCTAGGGGGTAGTTTTCTTACTTATTTTTTGCAAAGGTAGATCTGTGCTTTTCAAGTATCTTCCTTAGGACTAGGAGCTCTTTAGTGGTTAAGGTTTCACTTTCTGATTTTGCAGTACCAATCATCAATCCTTTCTTCTTATGTTTTAGATTAGGAGGTTTGCCATGAAATTTCCAACACCTATCCTTGGTATGTCCACCCTTGTTGCAGTGGTCGTACCATTTCTCTGACTTCTTTCCTTCCAAGTTTCCTTGAAAAGCCAAGGCTGACGCCTCTGGTGTAAACGTGACATTCTGGGTCAGCAACTTTCAGCTTTCTTCACACTTTATCAGGTTGAATGCCTCTTCCAAGGATGGAAAAGGTTTCATACTCATAATGCAGCCCCTTGTATCTTCAAAGGTGTCATTTAGATCGAGTAAGAACTCTTAGCACCTTTCTTGGTCAACAATCGTCTTCTAGTATAGTCCATCCTTGGTGCAAGCCCATTAATGAACCTCATAAAAATTTATTTGTTGCCACAATTTCACCAATGCAATATAATACCAAGTCACACTTTTATCTTCTTCAATTAATTTTTGAAGAAGACGTTTTACTTGTATCAGAGCCATTGTGTATTCCCTTACTAAATAGGTCAGCTTCGCTAAAGTCTGTCTCTCTAGCTGATGTTGCAAGCAAATAACTTCCACTAATTTCTGCCGTCATGGAGCTCACCAACCAAGTCTTTAACATGTTGTTCTCAACACTCCAAACTACATATTCGGTGCTGTCAAGACTTGGAGGTGTTGGTGATCTAGTCAAGCATTGCTCTTTATTCCTTCCTCGAACAAACATTAACACACTCTGAGACCATTGCAGGTAGTTATTGCCGTTCAGGCAGTGAGTGATCAGTACTATGGAAAGACAATCTAATGCTGCATAATTTGCACCGAGCCCTTCTCCTATTAAACCCGAGCCATGCTCTTGTGAGCTCTCCTCATTCGATGGTGGAGTACAGTTTCCAAAATAGATGGTGAAAGCGCTTGGCCCATTAGAGCTTATTTCAATGCCATTAATTGTTAGACCAAAGCTCCAATACCATGAAATAATTTGTAGTAACAGCTCTTGATAATTTCATTGATAGAAAAGTGTTACATATATAGGAAAAGGGAGAGAATTAGATCTAATCTAATCCCTTAAACTCCTCCTATAATCTCAATGAGAATAATCAGAAATAAATTACAATAAAGCTCAATAAAACTTAGCATGATTCTAGGAGATAACAATCCTATCTATAAAAGGAAAACTAGGTCAGCTGCTCATACTTCCTGCCATTCTCAAGGTAGTTAGCTAGGTCATCCAATTTTTGCAGATTTCATCTGAAATTTCACATTTTCCAATCCATTTGGGTATAATAGCATAGAATATAAAATTCACAAGGAATCATGATTATTCAATACTGATAGGAGAAAATTTGACTACGGGGACAAATATTTGTGTGCATTTTATAATGCATCTAAAGCTAAAGATTAAACTAATAATGCATCAAAACTAATTATGATCAACAAAAAAAATAGAAATGATTGACGAAAGCAAGTTAACAAACTATAATAACTTACCTTCGGGCATTTATACAAAGAAATTTACACGAGTGAGATCCAATGAATAAATAAATTTCAGAGCTTCTAAACACAAGCATCGGTGATGCATCAACACAAGACTCCATATAAACTTTCCATAAGTCTTTCATATGACCTCTCCTACTTCTAGGTACTTTCAAAGACCAAGTTGTTTGATGTGTATCAGTTATTCTGGGCTGCTCTTTAAACAAGACCTTGTTGCATCGACTAATTGAGCATGGTAGAAATATTGAGGAAGAACACCACGGGATAGACCCATCACCCTGTGATGTAATGAAGTCCATGGTAAGGTCCCTCTTCAAATGTTTGAAAGGAAGAGAACTGTTGCTGTCACCATCAGAAGCACCCATTGGTTCATGAAGAAAATCAGCATTTTCAAAAAGACCAGAAGAAATACGATTTTCTGAGTCTACATTAAATTTTGAACAAGCATCCAAGTCGTTATGCAAAGCGCATGATCCCATTTTTTGTAGAAGAGCCATGCATAACTCAAAAGGACTTGGATGGCAATAAAGGAGTCTCATATCAAATCCCAGATTGTGAGCAATATGTGCAGCAGTAAGCGAGTTTCCACCCAACTTAAAGAAGTCATCATTATTGCAAAGCTTTTCTACCATTAAAGCATCACAAAATGCCTGTTAAAGCAACTATGAATCAATTCCTTCATTTCTGCAGAGAGAACTATTGTTTGAAAGTAGGAGAAAATGGATTTAAAATTTTCAAAAGGAAACAAACTTGTTGGGGACACAATGATTTATCACAATATAGAGTTTAGAGGTCTACAAGTCATATTCAAAGCCATACCATTTCATGTGGGTAACTAACTGTACAAGACCACATATTTTTATTTTAGGGTTATTAATCATATTAAAGTAGTTTCGCTGGTGCATATGCAAAGGTGAATGATGAATACACATCTTTAAAACAAGCATTTTAAAAATAAATAATTAAATTTTGATAAAATTTATTTTATTTTTGTATGATATAATGACAAGTAAGAACTACTAAACAACAACATTGTAGAAAATAACCATTGTGCTAGAGTACCAAATGTGCAGTGAATGTGTGGAATTGGATTAACCTGATTTTATTTTATTAATATTCTCAGTCTTAGGTTATTTCTATATTTTGCTGTCTATCTCCAGTTGTCATATTGTTGACACTTGTTTAAAGGAGGGTCAAAGCAGAGGCTACGGTGGGTATGGTTGATACAAAAAGGTGTGTTGTGATTTTTCAGAGGAGCCTAAGCATTATTTTGGTATTTTGTCCCCTGTGGTAGCAGTAATCTTTTCCCTTTTGTTATCATTGTTAGTCTGTAAATTTCTGCAAAATATTATTGTCATGATAATTTTTCTATCAAGTCCATCTTTTTGCCTGCTCTATGCTCTATGAGATCCTTTTTTTCCTTTTTGCCTTTTTTTGTGAATGGCAGGCTTGCTTCAAAAGTGTCCAGCCCTTGCTCCCATGCTACCATTGGTGCCAAGGAAGAAAAAGTCCAGAGGATAAAGTACTTCTTTTGGTAAACAGAAGATAGATTGTCATGCAAAACTGTAAGAGCATACCTTCTTGACAACTTGTAGAAGGTTGCTGCATCCTATGCTACCAACCTCATCCTCAAAATGCTTAGTAAATAAAGTTGAACCTGTCAGCAACTCATAATTAACCTTACCACTAGCAGTCACAGGAAATGATTGCGTAAAGATGAAATCATTTGGAACCAAAATTGATGGAAGGTTATGGGTCATCCAGCTTCTGATTGAAGGTATTAATAATTCACCAGCCCTTTCTGCTTCTTTTAGTATTATAAATGCTTCCAGAAGCACAAGTTCACCTTGATTATTTTGACAAATTACAGCAGCATCATTTATATCTGGATGTTCCCTGAGTAAATTTTCTATTTCTTCCAGAGCAATACGCTGTCCATTCACTTTTATAATGCGGTCATTTCTTCCCAAAAATATAAAGTCTCCAGTCGGTAACTTTTTGGCTAAATCACCAGTTCTATAGTATAATCGCTTTTGATAACTATCAACAGAATCTCTGCAGCCATAATTCTGAGGCAATTCCACAAAGTCATCGGACAATAAATTAGGCACAGCATGGTAACCTCGAGCAATGCAAGAACCACCAACATATAGCTCTCCCTCATTTGATGCATCTTTTTCACCAAGAAGCAGCACATCACAGTTGGAAATAGGCATACCTATTGGCACAGTTGATAGCATCTCTGACTTCAAGATTAATGGCATCCTCTTGCAATCAAAATATGTACAATCGCCAGAGACCTTAACATCAAAAAAGAAAAAGGAAACAAAACATAAATAGACTAAAGTATGATGATGATGCAAAAAGATACAATCTAGGTAGATATCATTGGTCATAATTATTTGAAATTAACTACATGGTAATCAAAAGCAACAAAGAAGGACGATATCAAGCATATAGCCATTTTTGTATGTAAATATCAAATCATCAATGAAAGCAGCACAACTGGATAATTTATAAGAAGCCTTCTCACACATCGAACAATAACATTTATTCAAAACTTAAGTGTGCATTGCATAAGCATCAGAATCAGAGACAAAGAAAATTCAAATTGTAAATTTTCTAACCGAAATCTCAGACCAAAAAGATTTTCATCTATTCTCACCTCAGTACTTCCATATAAATTCAAGATCGATGTATTTGGTAAGACAGCAGAAAGCATTTTCCACAAGGTTAAGGGAAAATTTTCGCCGCTCAGCACAAGCAGTTTCAATGAACTTTGAACCCGCATGCCAGAATGATTTTGCAACCCAGGAAGAATTGTTCTCATTAATGATGGAACAGCTGTAAGCCTGTTAATAAAATAAGCCTATAGAAGTATTTAATACTATGGTGAAGATAAGGCGAAAGATAAGTGATATGATATTGTAACAAATAAATAATAGAATTATATGAGTAAGTTAGAATAATAGTCAGATACCAGCCGTTAGACTTTGCCTATATAAACAGGTTTATCTCTCATTCATAGTTATGTGTTGTATTGTGATCACCCTAATGGAACTCTCTTTCTCCTCTATCTATTGCCTTTGACTCTCTCCCCCTTCTCTCTAATTTCCCCTATTCTCTCTGTTTCTCTTCCCTTTCCATTCTTTCTCTCTCTTTCTTTTTGGATAACATAACAGTGGTATCCAGAGCCTGTCTTTCCTCAGCCCTACCCCACTACTTGGTTTTTTCTCTCTCATTCCCAATCAATTTCAAGTTTCATGGAGGAACATCTCCTCAACATCGAACAAAAATTGAATTCAGTCAATGGAACACAAGGCTCCGTCAATAAATTAAAAGAGGCCCTTCTTGGCTCGTCCATACAACTGCAAGAAATCATATGACAAAGGGACTTGCTTCATCTTCGACATCAAGGGTCCTTGGCAGAATTTAACTCTGAATTTGACGCGATTTCATCCAAACTCTCATTGCCTGAAGAACGGTTGGTCAATGCTTACATCTCACTGCTACAAGAAGACTATGTTGAACCAATACAAGAATGAGCAACAAGTCAACAAATTATAAAAAGGATGGCCAAACACAACTAGGGCAACACTCATAAGTCTTGGGCTATAAGGAAGGAAATTAACGACTGCAGCAATATACAAATTGTGTGACAAGAAGTCAAGGAATGATATCAGATCAATAAGGGCAAAATATACTAAAAAATGCTCAAACAGCATCATACCTGAATAAAATTTATCAAAGAATATGCATTGTCTTTCATCTCACAGAAGGGAGGAATAACTAGCACACAAGCAGTCAAAGTAGCACTGAGAAATTCTTGTAGATGGTCAACAAAGCTAATTGATGACTTAAACAACAGTACGTCTTGTCCATCCAGTGGATACATTTGTTGCATCCAAGAAAATCGATTTAAGAGACCTAAAAAGAGTGTGAAAAAGCGTGATGCTATAAACACAGAAACATTCTTCATCTTGGAACAGAAATATTCTTCATGTTGGACAAAATGTTGTTGAAATCATCCATCAAGCAAAAAACAGCTGGATAGTACCAAGGAAGAACAAATCCTAGAGAACGTAAAACAGAGATTTCAACAACTGCCAAATATGCTAAGTCAATGAGACTATGTTCGGACTTCATATTAAGGGAAATGAGGGGAAATGAATCAAAAGGGAAAGATAAAGACTGATAGGTCATTACTTCTCCCTTGTTTGAGATTTTTTTTTTTTTGAAGTCTCTTCAGCTCCATTTAGCTAGGTTTTCCCGAGGAGGTTAATTAAAGAACAAAGTTGAGAAAAATAAGTCCTATGCTTTCCCATAATTTCACATGTGCATAAAAAGGAAGAAGGAAAGCCATCCATTATTCTCTCACCATCATTGCCGTTAATAAGTGTCTAGACCAGCCATGCTCAATATCCTAAAATGGCCAGCAATTAACCTTATTTAACTCTAGCATATAAAAAATATCATAAAAAAACTTCTCAAAATTTTAAGGTGCAAAGTAGGGTTCATTCCATGTGTGCTGTAGAATAAAGTAAGCTGGCTGATGCAAAGACCACACTTTATTTCACATAAGTAAAAAATCATGCATTCATCAAACAATGAAATTTGCAAGCACTAAACCAAGTAACACAATACCCTGTTCGGTGCCACATACTCCTTTAGGCTTTCCAGTTGACCCTGAAGTGTACATCAGATAACAGAATGATCTCTTTTTATCATTTTCACAAGGCCATGCCAAATCTGCTGTGCACTCTGGAAGGTTTTCTTCCATAGAGAAGTTTAAAATAGCACAGCTGCTTGAATGTACAGCCCAATGTGAATCATCAAGCTGACCTGAGTTACCTTTACCAAATGAAGATCGGGACTTTATAATGAGATCAGCTTTTGAAGAAGAAACAACTGATTGTATCCTTCCGTAGGGCCAAAAAGGATCCAGAGGCAAGAAAGCTTCTCCACTCCTCAAAACAGAAAGAACAGCGACAATGTATTCCACAGAAGGTGACATATATATCCCCACTATCTTTGGTCTATACTCTGTTCCTGGAGCAGACACTGTTTTTGTTCTAGGCACGATGATTTTTCCTTCTACACCATCGACATCATCATTGGCTGGAAAAAAGGCATGGGAAATCACTGAGGTATTAGACATATCACCTTTACCTAATCTGGTATATAAGAGGATTATATTTAACAGCTAATATACTCAAACAAATAAATGGTGCTTAAAAATCTAGCAAAATCCTTGGTAGCATGTGCACCCAAATGGTATCTAAACAATATAGCACAATCCAAGGGATAGCCCCAGCTAGGACGCGTTACGCATATGCACCCAAATCAGTAGTTAGTGGCATTACGAATCAAACGGGTCTTTCCTAAAGTTCGCCAAAACAAAACTGAAGAGCGAAGTTACCATGAACTTCAAGTAGCTTAAAATTAATCACATTCCTTTCAACTTCGCAGAAGAAATATGATTGAACTTTTCCCAGTATAACAATGACCAAGCATGGACTACCCTCCAAGCACAGAAAGTAAAAGAAGAGCAAGAAGAAAACAGAGTGAACCTTGAGCTTTGGGTCTGATCAAATGGGGGTCATCCCCACCAAGCAGGATGGAGCGGAGGCGAGAGCTAAGGGAGTGAACGGCCTCCAGCATATCAGAGTACGTGTAGCAGGAGTCCCCAGAGTACATAGGCGGAGAAATCGATTTCACGAGCTTGTCGAAGGATTCAACAATGTCTCTCCCGAAAATGGATGAAGTAGAATTTTCATGAAGTTCCATGGAAACTTGGGCCGCACCGGAAGCATGTATTACTGCAATTTTGTCGGGGTTTGCTGAAGCTGCTCGGAAGAACTCGTGAGAAATGCAGCAATACTTCGCCTCTTCTTTGGTGTTTTCATTACTCATCGTTCTTGTCTGCTAGTTTGGAGTTTCAGTAGAGAAGGATGGAAACGGTGAATAGGAAAACCGCGACCAGTTCGCTTGAAGAAAAGTTGGTGCGCATCACTATATATTGCGAATCTGGCTTCTCTCCTTCGTCTTCCCGTTCTCTCCGCTGCCTATCCTCTCCCCGTGGAAGACGCCGTTTTCGCTTTAACATGGAGCCACGCGCACCGGCGTGCCTCTCCTCGCGGATACACACTTGTCACCGGGAGTAATTTTTGAAGGGAAACTTGAAACAAAGGACATAAAAAGAATGATATTTATCGCGGAAGATCTTAAAAATTTTAATTAATTAGAAGGATCAAAACATTAAATTATCCTTAACCAACTTTGTCACGTGCAAATCCTGGTCATCCTGTTTAAAAAAAAAAAAAAAGAGTCGTCATCAAATTTTAAAAGGTTAATTTTAAAAAACCTATAAAAAAATATAGCCTATAAAAACCGTATAGGATTCGAGAGTCGCTTCTGTGTGGAAAACGTGTTAAGCATCTCACAACACCTATGTAAGAGAATAGTTATCCTAAATCAACTACTCAAAATTAATATGACTATTTTATTATATTTCAATTGCCCTAAGAAAAAAGATAGAAATAAGAAAAACTTGTTATTTACAAGTAGAAAAAAATTATTTACAAAACTGAACTTGACCTAAAATAAAAACTTAAAGCCCACGTACCCTTTAGAAGGATTAAAGTCTACATAATTCAGGAGTAAAAATACGTGTTACTTGGTTGGTATTTTTTAGAAAATATTTATTCAATTGAAAAAGGTGTTTTTTTGGTGGGTTGGTATTTTTTAATATATGAAAACAAATTTTACATTTTTATTTAGAAAATATTTTTTTAAAGAAATTTGGATTACCCTCCCCGTGAAGGGTTCCATAGCCTCACATGGGTATATAATCATTTGAGCTTGTGAAAGTTCTTAAAACCTCACACAACTCTGAAAAAGACTTTTTATTTTATCATTTATTCATAAACACGGGGCCACAATTATTTTCTTTCTTTTTATTTCAAAGAGAAAATTTGCACAACTACATTGGCTGCGAGGACTCCCATAGTCTCACATGGTTTACCAATGAATCTATATACCTACGAAAGTTCTAAAAACCTCACATGGTATAGATTTAAAAAAAAAAAAAAGGAAGCGCTTCAGAAAATAAAGGGAAAGAATACCCAAAAACACTTTATTGAATTCAAGTTACACATAGTAGATAAGAATGTAAGTACACACCCGATGCTTTACTTATCAATTAGCTTGTCTCCTTTTTCACCGAAAAATTTTGAGTCTTCTTCCAACCCTTACTCTTCTATTTATAGGCTCTACCTAGGGTTTCATAATTTTTCTTTAATTTTCTTTTTAATTTCCCTCGATTATGACTTATAATATAACTTTTTATTTAAGCACCAAATTGTCATCAAATTGTGATTTTTTATTTTATTTTTTTTTTTTTAAATTTTCTCAATTATGATCCCAAGAGATATTTCTAAATTGAGGAGTTAATCATTTTAAGTGAAGAATTTTGATTTTAATTTTTGAATTTTCTTGTTTTCTTTTTTTTTTTTAAAGAGTCTATCCCGTATTTTCTAATTTGGAGGTCAATTAGCTTGTAATTCTTATCTTTTATTTTATTGTCATTTATTATAAGAGAGATATTCTTATTTAATTTTTCTTTTTTGATTTGCCACATGGTGGATTTCTCAAACTTAGCTTCTAAGAAAAAATCAAGGAGGATATTAATCTTTTATTATTCATTTATTTTTTTTATTTGTTTTATTTGTATTTAATATTTCTTGTGGGGCCTGACAAAATTAGGTGTTCAAAATTGCCCTCTTTTACTTGTTTGTAGGTGGGAGAAGCGAGTCTCTAGCCTATGAAGCAAATAAAGATAAAAACACGTATTTTGTCTAGGCAAACATGCAACACAAGAAGATAAAACCAAGTTGTCCCAGAGGCTAAAGAAGGTCTAGACAAAATACACTGTCCACGCCCCTCCTTACTTGGTTCATAAGAGAGAAGGTGAAGAAAACAAGCCAGTAGAACTAAACGTTCACACATTTTGCAGTGCCTATTTGCATAGGACTTTAGCAGATGCCTGCTGTTACAGAGTTTTAGAGAGGGTGCCTGTCGGTTTGTGTTTTAAGAGGTGCCAGCCGGTACTGGGCTTTAAAGAAGTGCCAACCGCTACTAGGTTTTAAGAATACTTGCCGCTACAGGGCTTTAGAGATGTACCAGCCACTACTAGGCTTTAAAAAGTGCTAGTCATTACCGCATTTTGAAAGTGCCTACCGCTACAAGGCTTTAGAGAGGTACCAGCTGCTACTAGGCTCTGACAAGTGCCAGCCATTACTAGGCTTTAAGAATGCCTACCATTATAGGGCTTTAAAAAGATATGCCAGTTGTTACTGGTCTTTGATAGTGCCTACCGTTATAGGGCTTTGAAAAGAAATGTCAGCCCTTAGTGGGCTTTAATGGTGTCTGTTGTTATATGGCTTTAAAAGTGTCTACCGCTACAAGGCTTTAGAGTGTTTTGAAAAGTGCCAGCCGTTACTGGGCTTTGAAGAGGCGTCAGCCGCTATTGTACTTTAAGGGTGCCTGCCATTACGGGGCTTTAAGAAGAGATGTCAACCATTATTGGGTTTTGATAGTGCCTGCCGTTATCAAGCTTTAAAAAGAGATGTCAGCTGTTACTGGGCTTTGAGAGTGCTTGCCATTCCAGTACTTTAAAAAGAGGTGTTACTGAACTTGTGATATCTCTTGTAATGTGGTGCATTATTGAGTAAGTGTGCAGATGAAAATAATACTTATGATGAAATGTCGCATAGGTTTTTGACAAAGATGATGATGGCTAGTATGATAATGATGTGTTGATGCAAAAAATACAGTAAATGATTTATGAGGTGATGATGCTAACAATGCTTTAATGATAAGATGGTGATGATGATTACAAAAGAGAGATGAGAGAGAAAGAGAGAGAGAAAAAGAAACTATGATGATACCTATGCTTTGTCGTACTCCTAACCAATAACCCCCCACACTCACACAATACTGTAGCATATTCATAATTGCATATTAAGCTTCACATGAATGCCATAGTTTGAGCCCTCTAGCATAAGTCTTGTTCTCTTCGATTTGCTAACCCCAAAGTGGAACTCTATTTGGGACTTCCACTAATGATTCTAAAGTCACACAAGTTATTTAGGAGTAAAGGACACCATTTATTATTACTATGAATATTTATCTAGACAAGACTTGCTTTTCCATCAAAAACTGGCTCTTATACAAAGTATGAAACAAGGGTACATGCGATTAAGAAGAAACAGTACAAAGAATCAAGAAGGATGAGGACCTATTTGAAAGAAATAGTCCCTTTGGGTGTCCTTCACTTTTGGTTCTGCGTAGACCCTTTGGGTGTCTTGTTTTGTTTCTAGACATATGCATTTTTTATTGAGTGATAACGAAGCCAACTCAAGTAAAACACAATCAAGATGCCTATATGATGGACGTGCCAAGTTTGTAGAGTTGATAGTTCCCCCTATCATTTGCATACGACTTTGGTTCGTTCCTCATCTCCATGTCTTGGTTTTTTTCTTTTTGCTCTAATTTTTCCATAAGCCACCCTTTTCAGGTTTTCAACTTAGTAAGCTTTTCTTCTTCTTCTTCTTTTTCTCTAACTTTTGCTTAAGCTGCCCTTTCAGATTTTCAACTTAGCGAGCTTTTCCTTTCTTTTTTTTTGTTTTTGTTCTAACTTTTTCCCAAATCGCCTTTTTGGGTTTTCAACTTAGTGAGCTCTTTTTTTTCCTTTTCTTATTGTTTCTACGGCTCTAACTTTTGCCTAAGCTGCCCTTTCAAGTTTTTAACTTAGCGAGCTTTTCCTTTCTTTTTTTTTCAAACATAATATTTCTTTACAGCATCTGTATTGATAGGCCTTGATAATTCTTGACCTTCATGTCTATCAAGATTAATGTGCCTCCAGAGAGAGCATGCTTAACAATATATGGTCCTTCACAGCTTAAGGCCCATTTACCTCGATCATCTTCCTGATTTGGCAAGATCTTCTTGAGGACCAAGTATCCTACTTTAAATTCCCTAGGTCGTAGCTTTCTATTACAGGCCCTTACTACTCTCGACTCATGACACATCGCGGAGAGCCTCTTCTCCTCAATCATGTTCAATTGCTCAAGTCGAGAATGTATCCATTCACTTCATCTAAGTCGGACTCGACCAATATTCTTAAAGATGGAATTTCCAATTCAATTGGAGTTACGGCCTCCATGCCATATGTCGGGGAATAAGGAGTTGCCCCAGTTGACGTATACATAGTGGTATGATACCCGTATAAGGCATATAGAAGCATCTCATGCCAATCTCTATAAGTCACGGTCATCTTTCCAATGCTCTTTTTGATGTTCTTATTTGCTGCCTCAACTGCACCATTCATTTACAACCTATAAGGTATCGAGTTATTATGTTTGATTTTAAATTGATCACATAACTCTTTGACTGTTGTCTCATTAAGGTTTGGTGCATTACCAGTGATGATTCTTTTTAGCAACCCATATCTCTAGATGACATTGACCTTCAAGAATTTAAGAAAGGTCTTCTGTGTAATACTAGCAAAAGAACTAGCTTCCACCCATTTAGTGAAATAGCCGCTAGCAACAAGGATAAAGCGGTAACCATTTAAGGCCTTTGGGTTGATCAGGCCAATAACATCAATGTCCCACATGGAGAATGGGCAAGGAGACACGTGACAATGTATCGAAGTTGAGGGAGCATTAGTCTTACTAGAGTAGATTTGGCACTTATGGCACCTCCTAACATAATTGATATAATCTTTCTCTATTATGATCCAATAGTAGCTGCATCTTTAAATTTACTTGATCATCGTGTGATTATTTGTGTGCAGACCATATATGTCGTCATATATTTCTATCATAATCCTATGTGCTTCTTTTAAGATCCACACAATACAACAATGTTCCATCAAAGCTTCTTTTTTACAGGATATCATTACTAATTAAAAAACCCATGGCCACTCGTCGGATGGCTTTCTTTTGGTTTTATGTAGCGTTCGGTGGATAAGTATGGTTTTTCATGTATACCCTGATATCATGATACCATGGTAGCTCATTATGCCCCTCTTCAATATTCAAGTAGAAGGTTGGCGACGTCCTAGTTTCAATATGAATTAGTTGGACATGGACCCCATAATTAAGCTTAATCATGGCAACCAAAGTAGCTAAAGCGTCAATGAAGCGATGTTTGTCTCTAATCATATAATGGAAGCTAATTGTTTCAAACTGTTTGATCAACTCTATCAAATACCCTTGATAGGGGGTTAATCTTGGTCTTTAGTTTGCCATTCCCTGGTTACTTGATAAATTATAAGAGCTGAGTTACCAAAAACTTCTAGGCTCTTAATATCCATGTCAATGGTAGCTTGAAGGCCTTGGTGCAAGCCTTGTCTTCATCCATGTTATTAGTGCAATTAAATTCTAGCTTAATGGCAACAGGAAATTGTTTTGTGCAAGGAAAGATAATTACTATCTCGACATTATTCTCGTGCATTTAGTAGTACCATCGAAGTATATTCCCATGCCTTCAACTCATTTGTTTCATCTTGATCCCCTCTTATGGCACATATGTCTTCATCTGGGAATTGAAAGTCTAGAGGCTAGTATCCACCTATAGGGTTCTCTGCCAAGTGATCGGCTATTGTACTACTTTTAATGGATTTTTGAGAAATGTACTTTATCATACTCAGACAATATTACTTGCTACTTAGAAAACCCACCAGCAATGTGTGGGTTTTGAGTGGGTCCATTCTAGATATTAGCCAACTAATATAGTAGAGCATATATTACCTCAACCTTTTTGTAGCCCATACTAGGCCATAACAAGTTTGCTCAATTGCTTGATAACGAGATTAACAATCATTGAACTTCTTACTCAAGTAGTAGATCGCTTGTTCTTTGTGCCTTGATTCGTCATACTGCCCTAACATGACATCCATGGGTGAGGACGTATTGTTAAATAAATAACTAATGGTTGTCCTAACAAGGGAGGAACTAGAATTGTTAGATTCAAAAGATGATCCTTGATCTTGTCAAATGCTTGCTGGTAGTTATTGTCTCACCTTTTTGTGGAGTTCTTTTTCAATAGTTTGAATATTAGTTCATAAGTTGAAGTCAAATTGACAATGAACCATGCAATGTAATTTAGCTGCCTTTGAACTTCTTTCTCTGTTTGGAGGGTGGCATTTCTTGAGTTGCTTTTATTTTTTCAGGATCTATTGTAATCCCTCTTTGACTTACAATGAATCCTAATAGCTTCCCAGATAAAGCCCCAAAGACACATTTGTTAGGATTCAATTGAAGTTTGTATTTGCACAGCCTCTTAAACAACTTACTAAGTAATGCAACATGACTTTCGCCTTCTGCAGACTTGGCTACCATGTCATCCACATATACTTTGAGCTCGTTATGCATCATATCATAAAAAAGTGCTACTATGGCATGTTGGTAGGTTACCCTCGCATTTTTTAACCTGAAGGGCATCATGCGGTAGCAATAAATCCCCCACCATGTCATAAAGGTGGTCTTTTCTTGTCTTCTTCGTCCATATAGATTTGCTTATACCCTGAGTACCCATCCATGAATGAGTACCTATAACTACAAGTTGTATTGTCAACTAGGACATCAATGTGGGGTAATAAAAAATCATTTTTTGGGCTGGCTTTATTTAGGTCTCTGTAGTCAACACACATTCAAACCCTACCATCTTTTTTTGGAACTAGAACAATATTGGCTATCCATTGTGGATACTTGGCTACTTCTATAAATCTTGCCTCTAACTATTTCATCATTCTGTCCCAAACCACTAATGACATGTTAGAAGCCAACCTTCTTAACTTTTGCTTTCTAAGCCTGATATTGGGGAATAAGGGGATCTTTTGAGAGGCGATATTCAAATCAAGACCTAGTATATCCTAGTAAGACTGTGCAAATACATCTATGTATTCTTTAAAGAGCTCTATTATCTGTTTCCTCTCTAGGTTATTCACTAACTTCAATTCTTTCTTTTCATCATCGGTGCCCATGTTTACTATTATAATTAAATTTCATATGGACACAATCGTCTTTCATCAGATTTAAGGAGTTTTGTGTATATTTGGATTAACTCTTCATCATCACTCTTGAAATCATGCATATCAATAGCGACAGGCAAATTATCATTGAAGGACTCAGAAATCCCTGTGTTGGACAAGTGTTCTGAAGAAATCAATTTCCTGGAGGGTGAAAAGAAAGAACGACAAATGAATAAAAAGAAGAAATGAGAAGCAGACAAAGAAAAATATGAATTTTATTCGCATAATGTTTTTTATTCATACTTCATATAAGAACTTTTGACGACTTTCATTTAAATAAGTTACTTTAAGGTAATAAAGTCAAAGTTGTCCTCAAACTCCTAAATTTCTAGGGCCTTTCCAAAATCATCAGCTGAGATCCATATATCTTTGACTAATTGAGGGAACCATTGTAATGGTTGGCTTGTTCAAGACTTCTGTAGGCTTTGGGAATGTTGTCTTTAAGTGGGGAATCTTATAGCATGCCTCAACCTTCAAACTTGCTTGCTCTTTCAATTGCCTTTGTAAGAAGGGCTCATAACCTAACCCTCAACATTTGTGATTTTTAGGTAAATTTATTAGGGATACGATGCCTTGAAGGTGTGCACCTAATCCTCCACCAAACTTAAACCCATTCTTTTCCATCATCTTGGTAATTATGGAATTGACATTTCTGCTATCCTTGAACCTTTCAACTTCAAAGCTTGAGAATATTGTCCTATTATCATGTTCAGCAGCATCAATATAGGGAAGAGAAGTTAGCTTACTCAGTATCCCCCTTAACTATTACAACCTTTCCATGGTCACCCCAGCAACATTGAGTATGATGGTTAATGTCCATGAGCTGAAAGTTTGCTATGAACTCGGTTGGTCCGATTTGTAAAGGCAATCAAACCACTCCTAGCACATCTCTTCGAGTACCATCGAATCCTCTGACCACCATGTTTCTCCCTTCGATCTTTGAAGCTTTTATTGTGAGATACTCAAATGTACACAATGGCAATACATTTAATACAGACCCTCTATCTATTAATACCTTGGCCACAATGAGCCCTCTATACTTTAGAGTAATGTCTAAAGCTTTGTATTGATTAGTAGTAGATCGAGCAACTTCTTCCTTCGTAAATGAGAGAGTAGATATTGCTTTCATAATATTCTTGATGCTCGCCGCCTTTTTTGGGGTTACATTAGACTGCACATATGATTCTTCTAATGATTTTTGTAGTGCTCGACGGTGCGATTCAAAGCTTAGAATTAAGGAAAGCACTGAGATCTTTGCTGGGGTCTTTTGTTACTGATCTATGATGCTATAGTCACTCTATTTCATTATCTATAAAAAATTATTTATCGCTTTTCTTCGAGTCAGAGTCCAATGGGGTTTCAATGTCAACATGCTTCTTTTTCCTAGTATGTACTGGAAGGTAAGCTCTTCCACTTCGTGTGACCCCTGTTGGATAAGTCACTAACTCCTTATTAATCTCAGTGTCCATTGCTTATCCTAAAGGTTTTTCTATAGTGCTATTATATCTTTATGGAACAGCATGATTACTACGATATGGGAATGGAGCTGGCACATTGATGGTCATAGTAGGCTGTTACCGTGGTGTTGTAATAGTGCAAGAGACAACATTAGAATTTTCTTTCAGAAGCGGTTCCTTGACAATGAACTCAACAGGCTTCCTATTCACCATGGCTATTTCTTCATCCTTATGAGATATGTAGCTTGCTGCTTTGAAACAAGCATATGTTGTCACATCCCAAAAATATTTTATCTGGACATAGAGAGTTAAAGTTAGGATGAGGGTTAATATAAAAAGTAGATGGAGAGATGAAACAACTTTTGATGTGAAACCCCAATAGGGCCAGGTTGGCATTTTCAGAATTATTAGTCTAGAAAGGGCAAAACAGAAAAATTTGAGAAAAATTATAAACAATTCCTGAAAAATAGTAAAAATATGAATTAGAGGTTTGGAACCTCGATGGAGGCCCTAAAGGTGAAATTGATATGAAAATAAATTCTTACGAAATTTTCCGAACACGAAGGTTTTTTGGAAAAATAGTGGGAAAACAGAGGAAAATAATTATTTTAAATAGTTAGAGGCCTCAATAATTTTGAAAAAAAATGAGTTAATTATCTAAATATTTATTTAAATTTATAAAATTGGTTTTAGGCCTTGGAAGCACATGAATTAATTTTGGGAATTTATTTCCCCATAGTTTTACCAATAGAAGCCTAATTGGGAAGAATTCAAAATAAATAGTTAGGGGTGGAAAAAATTCTAAAAATTTTTAGATCATATCCTTATATTAAAAGAGGATTTTTCATGGAGAGAAATAAATTTTTGGAGGCCTAGAAAAATTATGAAATGTTGCAAGTAAATAGTAACTGATAAAGTTTCAAAATAGTTTGGGATTGTGATTTGTTTTGTGGGTCATCTTTTTGGGCCATCCTAAACCATAAGTGGGTCCCACATTGGGCCGGGAGAAGGCCCAATTTCATGTAAGATCTAGACCCTTCATTATATTGGGATTTAATCTAATTTTGTACATGAATATCTTGGAATATTCTAGGGATTGGACACTTGGCTTGACCTGAACTTATTCCACACTTGATGGCAACCAAGTGCCCCTCTTAGGTGGCACCTTGCACATCCAAATGAGGGGGAGGCATATCTATAAATACCCCCCAAAATACCCAAAAAAAAAAGGCAGAAATTGGTAAAACTTGGGGAGGTTCTGTTCAACTATTATCTTGAGCTGGAAACTGAAATTTGTGAGTGATTTAGAACAAGGAATTAGCAAGCTATGGTCAAGGATTCCTCAAGGTATGTCTAAACCTCATCATGGTTAAGATTAAAACTTGTTTTGGTTAGATTTTTGAATGGAAATTCGAGGGGAAATGTTATTGGATTTTGGTATGAATGTTTGGTTATTAGGAAAGGATAGAAACCTTAAATATGATGTGGAATAAGTATGTTTAAGTGGTGTTTGGATTGATTTTTAGAAGAAAACCAAGTTAAGATTTTCTTAGGGTTCAATCCAACCAGAATGAAATGTTGGTGTAGGAGCTTGTTTTACCCTGATTTGATAATTCCAATGAGTTTAAAATGTATTTTGTGTAGGGAAATACTAAAAGGAAGAGTTTAAAATCATTGGAATCAAAAATAAAATTTTTGAAACATATATGTCCCTATCTGGCCAAGACAATTTGAAATAGAAGGAGTTTGATTTTCATAAATCTGATTGGATATTTGAAATCTACATGAAAAATTGTGTAAGAATGAGCCAAGAGGTGTTTAAGTTTGAATAATTATGTTAAAAAAAGAAAAGAAAAGGGGGATTTAAGTAGAGCATTGGTGTTTAAGTTTGAATAATTGTTAATACAGCTTGTAATTATGCTTGGATTGATAGGTATTATGGAGAAAATCAAAGGGAACTTTAATCTTTGAAGAAACCGAGTTGTATTAATCATCAAAGGTAGCATTGAATTATAATTTGATTGTTTATTTTGCTTGTTTAATATGATTATGTTGATTGCTTAGATTGAGGAACTTATGCTGTGGTGATGGTTGATTTTATGACATTTGATTGTGCTTTGGCCAAATGCATAGAAATATGTCAATGTGAAAGTATTGATGTTCCTCTTTGGGTATGATGCATAATATGATTTTATGTAAATTGAGGATGTCTTAAAGTTCTATAACATGTCACATTATGCATTGCTTGATTTGCATGACAATTATAGTTCATTGCTAGTGAGATTCCTATGAAATCTCATTCCTTCCTATGTTAAATCATGTACTAATTAGGAAGCGGATCAAGCATGGACAAGGCCAAGGAGCTAGTGTTAGGCTAAGGAAGTTATGTGAATTCCATGATGTTATATGAAGTTTATGTAATATTTTGATGAATTTTAATATAAGGTTGTAATGGATGTTGGATATTGTTGATTTGTGCCCCATGTATATATGATGTGCCCTAATGCTGAGAATATTGATTATACAATACTTGAATGGTATAGTACATGGAAAAGAGAAAGAAATCCAAGAAACCATGAATTAAGGGATAAAAATTACCCTAACCAGTAATAATCTTATGTCACATAAAATAATGAGTAAATGGACGAATTTAGACTTAAAATTTGGCAAACATATAGATCTCGTCCTTAGCGTTAAAACAAGTCATAGATCACAAAATTTAGAGTTTTGTGCTAAGAAATATGCCCTTCCAAAATTGGGCTAAAATACTGAAAAATTGAAAATTGACCATATAAACAGTGCAACTTGGTGAATCTTCTGACTCTGTTTCGTGATGATCTGATGCCAATCATATTTTTCCCTTACATTAGACATGACAAGCTTTAAATAAAAATTAGAACCACCTCATTTTGATTTTTCAACATTTACTTATAAATTTTCAAAATTGGCAAAAATTTCTGTGAACAGTGAACAGTGCTGGGAGGCTTTTTGTGACCTGGGGTCACAACCTGGGAAGTTGAGGTTGTGACCTGGAAGCAAAAATAGCCACTGTGACTTTAAGTCGTGACCTAGAAGTACTCAGTCATGACCTGGACTGAAATTTGAAAAAGTTTCAAATTTTTGGGGATTTTCTCCTGCCTAAGGCCTATACAATGATCCAAAGGGTTCCAACTGTTATAGAATATGGTAAAAAAGGAGGTATGACACATGTGCCATCAAAGTCAGTTGTGGGACTTTTAGGGCATTCAATCCACTCTGTGACATTCACTTGTTTCTCATTGTTAGGCAAAGGATTGGCATTGATAGTGGAACTATCATTTTTCTTTAGTTAGATATGATTAGAGTTAACCAAGTCTAACACATTCCTTTTGAATATGGGCAATCCTCTATTGAGTGTCCCAAGGCACCCGTATGATATTCACAATGGGCATCGGGATCATAACAAGATAGATAAGGGGGTTGTGGTTGCTTATAAGTACGTAGCCCCATCAATCAAGCTTCCAAAAACTAATGATACAGTTCAACAAATGTAACATCTGTAATTTATACCAAATAACTAGCTAATTAAAAGTAAATGGAATTACATTTAATGGCCCAAAGTTTGAAAAATTTAACCTTGAAAATTTTGTTCTTAAATTACTATTCATGGCAACCCATAATTTAGCCAAACTTTGAAAAATCAAAAGTAATTTTAGAAAAAAATTGAATGTTTCCAAGTTCTATTGGAAACTCTTTGGATTACCTTTGAAAAAAAATAGGTTCTAGGTAAATTGTTTTCAAATTCAAGCCCAGTTTCATTTTCAAAAAAATATTGTCCATTTGGTCATTTTGCTAATTTCTAGTATTTTTACCTAACTTTGGATAGGCATAACTTCTTGTACAAATATCCATTTTAGGCATGCTACTACCACTCATTTTAAAGAGAAAAATGAGATCTATTGGCATGTCAAATTTCATGACCTAACTCGCTCCATTGGTCATAGTCACATTGGTCAAAGTTTGACCCCAAAACATTGACCTTTTTCCCCCTAATTGCTCTGCCTCTTCATACTTAAGCTCTAACTTGACATATCATTCATTCAGTCATATAATTAGATATAATAGCATACTTTAGCATGTGTTTGCATCAAAATATAGCATAGGTCATCCAAAAAGATTATTTACAAATATCCACATATATTCAAGAAATACTACTAGGAAAATAAAAATACTTGATGGCTATTTTTGGCCGTACTTAATGGTTTATAACCATCAAATATAGAGGCATCAAATATTTGCTTCTCTAATATTTGGTGGTCAATAACTGTCAAATATTTTCACAAATACTTATTCCAAATACTTGATGGTTTAATAATCATCGTCAAGTATGTATTAAATATACTCGATGGTTATTTCTATAAGCGTCAAGTATTCTTAAAATACTTGATGGTTATTAATAAAAACCATCAAGTATATTTTCATCATGCTTGACATTTTTTACCAATAACCATCATGTATGTTTAAAATATACTAGACGATTATTATCTATCACCATCAAGTATTATGGACCTTTTTTCTAAAAAAAAAATGAGGTGACTTCTTCTTAGCAGCCCCTGCGTTTTGAATACAAAAGACAGCAACAAAGCAAAAATATATATATCAATCCAGTGAGCAAATTAGAAATAGAAATTGACATTATATTTGAGGAAACCAAAAGCTGTATTACTATACAAACGGAAACTTGGACAAGAGAAAGCAAAACAAAATTTGTTAGGTACTAAATCAAAACCAAAATTTGCTATTTACAAAAACCATAACAAAATTGTCCAAGTACCAATCTTCTCATCTATCTATTCTGTACCCACTGATAGTACAATTCCATTGCCAATTCTTCCAGAATTTCTTCCATTTGATTGGATGATATCGCGTAAAGTACTATATGCCAAAAAACAAAGAAATTGATGATGTTAGGTATAAATGAATAATTAACGTAAGTAGAAATTGAACTTTGAATAAATATATGTTACCTTAGTAAGGATTATGTTAGCATTGTGCATAAGTATCTCTTTTATGAACTTCATAACAAAATATCGACAATCCAAGCTCTTGTTTGGTTGCAGTGGGCACTGCAAAGAAAGGGGAAGAAAAATATATTAATAATAATATAATGATAAACTATATTTAGTTGAACAGTTAATGGTAATGACTGGAGGACATGCTAAGCCTTGATCCGTGCAGAACAGCCACAGAGCTATGAGAATACAATAAAATTAAATGTTAATGATTATTAAAAATTAGATAGAAAAAAGAAATTAAATTCAATGTGATAAAGCATATTCAAGATGCCTGTTAAATAGTGATTGCATAAATAGTCGATTGGCTGGATCCCTATTAAGAGAATCAAAATACCAAATTTTTGCCTTGGAGGAATTGATCACAATTAGCATCCAGTGTCCCTGATTTGACCGTGTCGTTACACCTTGGGGTCAAATGCAAGAAATTTATAACCGGATCCAAGAGATGTAGTATAGCAGTGCAATCGGGGTCGTGTTCACTTTTGGAAGCCTTTATTGATGACCTAAGCTAGACTAAATGCCATGCAATGCAATGAAATGGGGTTTTGGGTTTTAAGATTAAATTGAAATGGAACTAAACTATATGTAATTGAAATAAAATTAAGCTACTATATTTTTGCTATTTTTGATAAGATGATGATGGAATAGAAATGGATGATAGGAAACCTCTTGAAAATGGTTTTAATGGCAGTCATAGTTTACTTAAGATATTGGGAGTTTCATAAAATCATTAGGTTTTCTAGAATAACAACCTCAATGACTTATTGAGTCCAATGTTTAAATCAATGAAAACATTGTTAAGCTCTCCTAATGTGTAATTTGAGAATGATCATGCAATTGGTTCATTGCAACCCAGAATCAACTTAATATCAAAACATGACCATACAAGACAAGAGAGAATCAAGAGAGTTACAAGGAAGCATATATGTGGTTGCATATATTGAAGCATAGAATTCAATATTAACTAATTCAAACTACAAATGTAAATCATTAACCAATGATTACAGTAACAACCCAAGTTCCTAACTAGGAATTTACAACTCCTAAACTTAGAAAGCCATAAATCATAGCTAAAAATTGAAAACTGAAACTAAACTCCCCTTTGAAGTCTGGAAACTCATGCCACTCCACCATTCTTCAGGAGTTGATAAACCTTAGCCCTATATAACTTCAAGAAAAGCTCCAATCGAAGTGAATTTATCAGTAATGGCAACTAGAAGTGGAAGGGCATGAGACGGAGTGAAGGAAAGGTGAAGGAAATGGATAGGGAAGAAGATGGAGGTGGAAAGGCAAGAAGATGAGAGAATAGAGGTGTTAGAGGTGAGAGAATGGAGTATTTGGTCGAAAATAAGGTTTCTAAGGGTTTAAGGGGTCAATCTAGGTCAGATCATATGAGTAGAGGGTCTATTTTTGTGTTCTGGATCTGAATCTGACGTTACTGATACGAAGGAGTTGGTCACGGCAAACTCAAAAGTTTGCTGCGGTGAACTATTACAGAAAGGAGCTTCAATAAGATTTTGATAGTTGGCCGCAGCGAACTCAAAAGTTTGCCATGACGAACTATTCTAGAAAGGAACTTCAATGAAATTCTGAGAGTTTGTCGTAGCGAACTCAAAAGTTTGCCACGACAAACTATTACAGAATAGTCACTGAGGTACCTTTTCAGACTTTTTGTCACAGCACAACATTTCCTTAACTGCAACCAACCATTCCAGATTGAATATTTTGAGTTCTCATTTCATCAAGATTTCATATTTGCAATAGGGGATTGGGTCTTTATTTATCATTTTCCAAATTAAGGGTCCCAAATCGCAATTTCACATATTGGGGTCTTTATTTACCATTTTCCCATAAAAATAAGTTTCTTGAAGGTGGCTAATTATGGTGATTAAGGAAGTTAACCAAGACTAGGCTAATTAATCTTGGTATGACATAAGCAAGTGACATCATCATGATGGCATCATGTGGAGATATGGCATAATCATATGCTTAAAGCATAAGATTTACCCATGTATGAAGTAACAAAAAATAGAGGTGGAGATTTAGCCACCTACCCCTTGTAATTTTGTTAAAATTCAAGGTCAAAAAGTTAGTGAAAACCCTATAAATACCCCCTCTCACACTTGATTTCTAGCCAAGAGAGGATAGCAAGGGGAGACCTTGTTGCTAGGCAGGGAAATAGGCCAGGCCAAGCTTTGGTGAAATAGGCCTGAGCCTGTAATGATAATATAAAGCCTGAGCTTGGACCTGAGCCTGGATGTGGGCTTTTTTTTAAGGCTCGAGCCTGAGCCTTTCAAAGGCTTGATTAAGCCTGAAACCTTTTTAAAGACCTACTTACAATGTAGGCCTCTGGAAAAATCTCATGTTGTAGGCCTTAAAGTCCAATAGGCTTTGAGCCTACCAAAGCCAACATGTCCGTAGGCTTTTGGGAGGCTTCGAAGCCTATATATTTACAAATTGTATATTTTAAATAGGCTTAAAGCCTACTTAAAATCTATGTATAATTAAAATAAAATATGGTTTTTGTTATAAACAAATAATACTATTAGAATTTAACATAGATAATACAATATATTAAAATATTACAAAATAATAGCATGAGCATGAAACGAAAATTGAATAACACAATAATATCAATATTAAGATCTCATCTTGTGCTTAAAACCTACACATAATTAAAATAAAACCTAATTTTTAATACAAAAAATCATCCCGTTGGAATTCAATACTAATAACACAATGTATCAAAATATTATAAGATAACAGTATGACCATGAAATGAAAATTAAACAAATAACATCAGCATCAAGGTCTCAATATAATATCCTATTGTTCAGATGGCTCCTGCATAATAAACAAATTAATTTAAATTAAATAATTAGTACAACACAAAATCTAGCTAACATGATATAAATATAAAAATAAATTATGTAACATTATATTCATACCTTTAATTTCCTTTTCAACCCATATTTGTGACAAAGCCAGTCCCCTCCACATAAAAGAATTTCAATAGATTCTTTATTCAATCTAGCACAATATTCATCAATCACTCTTCCCCCAACACTAAATGTGGACTCTGATGCTACAGCTAAGATAGGGACATATAATATATCAGATGCTATCCTAGATAAAACTTTAAATTTTGTACTATTGTTCTTCCACCACTCTAAGGCACAAAATGATGAAGAATCAGAAGAAGGAATGTAAGGATCATCAGCAAGATAAGTTTCCAACTCTGATTTTGTAGCAGGAACTGAATGCCTTTGACGAATCATGTTCAACATTCGTTGCATTCCTTTATCTTTTTGTTGTACAGTAGTATTTGTCAAGGCAGTGCCATCAATATTCACTTCACCAGTTGTAGAAGATGACTCTTCTCTACACAATTCCATATACTCAAGATATAATTCTTCTAATGCCTTTTTTACTTTTTCCACATTTTGTGTAGCCTCACTTTTTGGTTTATATATTAGGGGGAAACTTATCTCAATAGCATCAAATTTGATTCTTGGATCTAAAATACTTGCAATAGCCATCAATAAATTGCATTCACCCCAATACTTATCAAATTTTTCTTTCATAGGTATTGCCATCTCATTCATAAACAAGTCAGAGAATCTATTGCCTCATCAATCACTTGTTTCACCCTATGAACCTCAACAAGATAAAAATTAGCAGTAGGGTATTCACTACCTGAAATGACATGAGTGGCATCATTGAAAACTTCAAACGAGTGACAAACCTCTCAATCTTTTCATAATGCTCAGGATCCGGTGCATAAGTATAATGTGGCACTTTTTCATTGTAGGCTGAAAAGGCATGCTTGAATTTCATTGCTATTGTCAATATCAAGAATGTAGAGTTCCACCTTGTAGGACAATCAAGAATGAGTTTTCTTTCTTTCAAACCCTTCAACTCTATAACTTCACAAAAGGATTTAAGCCTTACATCT